TATATATATATATATATATAAAATCTATATCGCCGCTTGCATCACAGATAGCACTCTAGATTGAGGGAAGTCATAATGCTACTCTGTTCTGCTTTGGGATGTACCCTCGTTGCAGAAATAAATCTGATTTGACACCTCCTTTAACTTCCACGGTTCCATTTTGTGGAATTCTGGGAATTTTAGCTCCGCTCTGGTGCCACAACAGAGCAGTCCAGATTGTTTTAAATTTCCCTGAATATTCACATGTCTCAGCTCCTCATAGATCCCTCCACTGGCTGCCAGTTCAAGGCAGGGCTCCTGGTATTTAAGGCTTTGCGTTCTAATCTCCCTCAATATTTGGCAGCTTGGCTAGCATGGTACATACCATCTAGAAACCTATGAACTACAGGCAAAGGATTATTGGCGGTTCCACCAATGCATACGGCTCTGTCATGGCTGTGAGCCTTTCAGGATCTGGCTCAACATTTGTGGAAGTCTTCCTCTGTATCTCTAACTAGAAGAGGATCTTGCCTGATTTCATAAAGGGCTGAAGATCTTCCTCGTAATTCATAAGATTAAGCTGCTGAAGGTTCCTAAGGCTGCTGAGATGAGTGGAGGTGGTGGGAAGTTTACCTTTAGTATATGATAGTGTTTTATTGTTTTGTGCTGGGTTATACGTATTATCTGGTGTTTTGCCCTTTGGCGAAAAGGGTGTTATAAATAAATAATCTTCTTGCAGGGTTTGTTTTGACCCAGTTACTATTTGTTTTGGTAAGAATGCTGATACTTTTGTAAAAACACTGACTCTCTTCTCTTTGTGCCAGGTTCCTGCATTCAGTACAGGAAACTCGACCCCGGTTCCACAATCAGCAGAGAAGATCTTTTCTTCTTGTGTAGAAACAGAAGTGAAAATGGGAGAAAATAGAGCTTCCTTGCAGATAGGTAAGTTGATACACAACTGAGTGCAGGATACTCTTCTGGATTTTGCAGCATCTGGCTGGGATCCTCTTGGTGGCATATCTTGGTGTAACCCTTGGTCATGACAGCATATGTGCTTGAATGGATATTATGGAAGATATCCTCTTTGTGTAATCCCCATGTAACCACAGTGTAAGGAGCTGAGTCCTTCAGCTGCCCTGCCATGGTTTGGAGCAGGGGTAGGCAACCTTTCCCTTTTAAGGACCGAGGGACTTCAGCTCCCAGAATCCCAGGAGCTATTGGCCAACATGGGACTATTGGCCAACATGGCTGAGGCCTCTGGGAGCTGAAGTCCCTCAGCCCTTAAAGGGGAAAAGTTGCCTACCCCTGGAGGGTTGGATTTAATGGGCATCCCTTCCTTTACTTATTATCTGCTGACCTATAGTATAAAGTATTGTGGCTAAATGATGGGACATGAAGTAGTGTGTTAATTGCTAAAACTGTTATCCACGTTCCTTTGTGATTAAGCAGATGGGAAGAGAGTTGAGGCTGTGTTGGGAAGATCCAAGGTCAGTTTCTTGAGAACGGGGAAAGTTGGGTCCCTTGAGAAGAGTGGAAGAAAAGGCATGTTTTTACTTTCACCTTGAAAAAGAATGTAGCCTGCCTAAGATTTGAAATAACAATGCTTTGCAAATGCTGGCTTTTTAGTTCTGACAGCAGATGTCTAAGGAGAGCATCTAGGTTTCTGAATAAAGGTTTTCTGTGTTTACACTACTGAAGCCCGGATTGCTGAACTAAGGGGTTCCTGTATATGATACACAGCTAGACACAGCCAGGATCAGTCCCAATGGCCAGTGAGGAGCAAGTGGGCAAGGCACTGGAGGCAACATCTGGCTGAAGTTGGGAAACAGATGTTGACAGCTGTAAAGGACCTGGCCTTCCAACAGAACTCATGCAAGGAAGGCAGTCTGGGAGGGTAGCAGCTCTTCACACCTAGCTGCACAACTAAGAACAGATGATGCCTCAGTGCCTCTCCACCTGAATTGGGTGTAAGGAGTGTACTCCAGCAAGCTATATTTTGCAGCTGCCAAACAGAGTTGGGTGGGTTTAAAAATAAATAAAACACCCTCAAATGATTAGAAGGAAATGAAAAATAATTGAAAAATAAAGCAGCACAGAATAAAACCAATTCAGTTCAGGGAGTGGCTCAGTGACATTTGCTGTTGTTGTTAACTGCCTTTGTGTACATTGAAATGAGGAATACAATGGCTTGTATAATTCTAACTTTTGTGCTGAGTTGTATATCTTTCCATTTTAAGATCTTTTCTACTCCCTTCATAGCTGCCCTCCCCATTCTTAATCTTCTTCTGATTTTCTGGCTGCAATCCCCATTTCTTTCTATATTTGATCCCAGATATGAGAACTCTTTTACTATTTGTGTTTCCTCATTGTCTAATTTGAATTTATGTAAGTTCTCCATGGTCATTATTTTTGTTTTCTTTACATTCATTTATATATTTATACCGTATTTTCCGGCGTATAAGACGACTCATGTATAAGACGACCCCC